AAAAAAGTTGCGATACATCAAGTGATGGCAACATGACACTGTGAGTTTGACACTGTGATCAAGCTGAAACAACGCCATCTTTACAGAAAAGGGAGACTGTCAGCTGACTTTGGCAATATTAACATTTGCAGATGATTTAAAAAAACCTATTTTAGGAACAAGATTTCAAGGGGGAGCGCCTAACCTCAATTAATCTCAAGAGAAGTATCAAGGCTTAATGTCCAAAAAGCATTATGTCATTTTGATGGGAGGAGAAAAAAATGGAGAAAGAGGAACAGCATAAATCATTTTGGTGGAGGGAAGGGTTCATTGAGTATAAGTACTACATCTTGCAACATTGTGTTGCAAGTCTTACTACTGATTTTTCTCATTCTTATGCATGATTATGCCAGCCCTCTGGAACGATCTCCCCATGGAGATCCGGACCCTTACTACCCTCCCGGCCTTCCGCAAAGCTGTTAAGTCCTGGCTGCTCCAGCAGGCCGGGGGGGCTCTCATAATATTCAGCCCCCCCGGAGATTGTGACTGTTGTATATTTTAATGTTGTTTGTGTATTATTCCCCTCCCTTGTTTTATTGTAAGCCGCCCGGAGTCCTTCGGGAGTGGGCGGCATACAAATCAATAAAACTATAACTAACTATAATGCTGCTAAAAATATAAGGGTTGGAAATAAGATTTCTATGCCATAGTAAGATGGTTATTTAAAAGAAAATCAAGAAAAGTTCTATTCTTCAGATACTCCAAAAAACAAAACAAAAAACTATAATTGCATTTTCTTGTTTGAAGAAGCTTAATAGCTAAGGCTGATTGGAGCTGTACTATGGAAAAGGTATACATTGCCAGAGGTTCAACCCTCACCGGCTCAATGTTGACTCCATTCCATCCTTCTGTGATCAGTAAAATGAGAACCCAGATTGTTGGGGGCAATACGCTGACTAAACCACTTAGAAGGCTGTGAAGTGGTATATAAGTCATAACTGCTATTTATAGATAAACACATTTTTGCAGTACTTGTACTATTGCTGTACAACCCACCCAATTTCAGCCATATTGTCCTTCAGGAAATGTTCATTCCAAACTAAGATGTGCAGCTCACAGACTACCACTTCTACCCGGTGTAATCAACATAACTAATTAAAACAGACTCTCCTGTTAATACTATATATATATACTAGATATCAAGATCCTATAGGTTCTGGTCACAAAGTACATAGCATCCTTCAGTGTTGTTGAGCTTTAATAAGGAAGAAATAGCTGGATTTTTTTTTTAAAGGAGCAATATATACAAGAAATACATAATTCAAACCACCCGGCTTAAATTAATTCAACCCTAATTCTTAACCATCTCAAAACAGTGCTTACAAAAGAAGTGATCTCTACCCATTATATTTAGCTTGAACTTTAGAAGAGGAATCTATTTTCATGAATCTATTTAAATGGACTTAACTGCACTTCTATGCAGCAGAGAGAGGTGCAGTTATACCATACGTGTATGATAATTCTGGAAATAGCAATAATAGTGCACGTGTGATCAATTAACTTGCTGGACTTATATTTCCTCTCCAAAAAAGTCACTAGTCATAGCTAATTTCCCTGAATCAGCCAGTCCATCTTCCAGTTCTTTCTGCACTTCTTTGATCAGTCTCTCTTCATATTCATCAGGAATATCTTGGGTTACAAAGTCCAGAAGTGATAATTCATCCGCTAGTAGTTGTTTTTTGTCCTCACTTTGAGTCTTGTTCAGTGATAATTCACAAAGAGAGTCGCTGCTATAACTGGAAAAAACAAATTCTAGGTTTCAGCATCATATATTGGTATTAGTTGGACAAATATGTATAGGATTACAAATTACATTTAAACACTCTGACATTTAAACTGCCTTTATGTCCTTTAAATGTTCTTTTTACAATTTAGATAGACATGAACCTTTATTCGTGAGTACATGTCAATGAAGCCTGAACATGAATTAACAACTGGACTGATTGTGTTGTGTTATGTTGTGATTTAAAGCACCAAAAGGAAAGCACCACAGAGGGCCTGGCTTTTGGAATTCTTTCTAGCCACTTAATAAAAGCTCTGCTTTGGTTCATGTAACTAAGTGGGGCCTAACAATATTCTGACCATGTGCTTCTCTCTAAAGGATGAATTGGGAGATTTCAGTTGTTGTTGTTTTTTTGCTGGGCAGCTTTTAGTCTTACATGGCCCACTCGATCCCTACCTTGACAACCCATTGCAAACAATAATCCATACTGAAAATCTGAGTTGCATGACAAGAGCTACCCAAATGGAAACTGCATGCATTATGGACCTTATTAAATCTCAATGCAGCAATTCAGAGACTGATCTGTTTACTTCACAGGATTAACAGGCAATGCCTCATTTTGTTTCACAAGAAGGAGGGAGGGGGAATTCTCCAGTCTCTCAGTAACACCTCTTTTCTTGAAACGTTCTTGTTTTACGTGTTCCCACACATTATATACTCCTTGGGATCAACAGAGATTCAACTGCATTTTTGTGATACCTGTTGGCATCAGGATGAGGTAATGCAGGCTATTAGGTTGGTTTCTTGTAAGTTTTGTACTCGAGCAAATAAATGGGCTCGGTAATTTAATCATAGGCATGTTTTGAAATCATTCTGCGCCAGTAAATAATTTATTCACGCTAAAATAGATGCGAAGATAATGCCTGAAGTTTAGCTATATAAAATGCATACAGCATGATGAGCAATATAGAAAACAATCCTATTAAGTGAAATGACCATGTTAAGAGAAGGAATCCTCTTTACAATCAATGGCTATGGCCTTCCAAGTGGAGTTGTTACTACTAATTTAAAAGTGCCATGGCAGTCACATACTAATCCTTCCAAGAAACATGATGTGATCCTCATGACCTTTGTGGGCAGTGATGCAAGTGGCAATAGCGATCTTCTATCTGGGATTAATAGCATACTCAAAAAATGTATACCAGTAAAATAAAATTATATCTCTTAGCAATCACTACCTTTGACTCAGCTTGAAAACATAGGGCTATGAAGCTTAGTCTAATTTGTAACCCAGTAATAATAATTCCTTGTTGGGCTACTTTCAGCCTGCCATATCATGAAATGAATCCAGGCCCATCTTAGCCTAAATCATTCAGTACATCCCTTCAATTCCCCAAGGGTATTAAGTACAGGATCAGGCTAAGAGTGCTAATCCCCATGTTATAAAATGCTTCTAGATTCCTGAATTACGATTAACTAGGTATCGACTACCTTTCAATGAAATATTTGTATAGCTCCTAAGCAAAGCAAGCTAGTTTGGTGTGGTGGTTTTACAGCATAGAACTAGAAACTAGGAGAGTGAGTTGTAGCCTCATGTTGGACATGGATCCAGCTAGGTGACCTTGGGCCAGTCAGCCACTCTCAGTTCTTAAAAAGAAGGTGGCAGTGATAAACCAATTCTGAAAAGCCTTACCAAGAAAACTGAAGGATCAGTTCAGGCTGGCACAAAAAATTAACCCTGAGTAATGATCACATTGTACTGTGGCAGCCCATAAACCACTTTGACACTTCATTATCGGACTGTACAATCTGTACAAAGGTGCCAAATATGTGCACCTCTGTTACAAAATAACAATCTAGGCAGGTTCAGGACCATGTAAACAGAAAAAAAGAGTATTTTCCGTTTATTTTCCACATTTTGATGACTCAAAAGTAAGTCGTCAGGTCAGCTAAAGCATTTTGTACAGATGGCTCTCCATCCTCTGAAAATCTCCATTTGGCAACCTATTTCTCTGGTTACAGCTCTCACCATTGGAAACTCCCCCTAGTATTTAACCAGAGTGTATTTGTGTGTAGTTACAATTCTTTCTGCTTTTGTATTTATGATTATGTTACTCCTGAAAAACAACAGTAATGGAAACTTTGCTTGAAATACAAACAGCAGCCTTAGAAAGTGGCAAGACAAAGAAATCTCTTTCTTCCATCAAATTCTCTTACTATATCAAACTACACAAAATTGCGCTTGATTTCTGCTAGTTACAAATTTGTATGTGTCTATTGTATTCTTCCAAACTCTAAAACAGCTTGTGGTTGGAAACAATGATTTTGGTCAGGAGCTATAATCTGAAACCCTTCAGGAAACATTTCAAATACACATAGTTCAAAGACTGTTACAGGCAATTTAATTCTCAGGATTTGGGAGACTGTATTTCATATGAACATTTACCTTGCCTTTTGAGTAATTTACTTTGATTAATTTCCTATAGCATTCAAATGGTTTTATATTTACATTTGCAGATAATAAGAAGTTAATCTGATTTCTGTTTTGCCTTGATTGCAAGCTTCCAACACACTTGTGCAGTCTTATCCACCATGCTAAATTAATAATTATTGGTGTGTTCCTCAAAACTGAAATATTTAGCCTGATCTTAATTTCCCAATAAAGTTCTTAGGAGAGTTTAATTGTTAATGTGAAATTTTACCTCTGCTTCTGACAAATCAACCCATGAGCACATGGGCAACGATCAAGAGCTCCATCTGGTTCTAGCTCCCAAGTAATTAGGTTGAGAAACCCATCTGAAGGATTACGGCAAGGTTCTCTCTCACCGGGGAAGGGGGTGCATATGGGAAACAGAAGATCTGTCGAGAAAATTGGAAGACCCTGGTTATTTTTATTACATGCAAAATCTGAATTATTTATATTATTTGTGTTACTTAATTTGGGCCACCCTTCAGGATTCAAGGGATGTGGTGGCTCAGTGGCTAAGATGCTGAGCTTGTCGATCAGAAAGGTCGGCAGTTCAACGGTTCAGATCCCTAGTGCCGTGGAGTGGAGTGAGCTCCCGTTACTTGTCCCAGCTTCTGCAAAACCTAGCAGTTCGAAAGCATGTAAAAATGCAAGTAGAAAAATAGTGACCACTTTGGTGGGATGGTAACAGTGTTCCGTGCGCCTTTGGCATTTAGTCATGAGGCCACATGACCATGAAGATGTCTTCGGACAATGCTGGCTCTTCGGCTTCGAAATGGAGATGAATACTGCCCCCTAGAGTTGGGAACAACTAACACATATGTGCAAGGGGAACCTTTACCTAAAATTGGAATTGTCACATTTGCAGCTACATTATTCTGCTGACTAATATCCAGATGTGCAATTAACTACTATTACAAGAACTTTTTTTATAGGTATCCTCTATCCTACACTGTAGAATTGATTTTTTTAGTTTCC